TGAATTCCAAATATCAAAACCAATAATCTCCAATGCCAATTGTTCATCACAGAATAATAATCAAAAACACCTTTGATTTTACAATTAACCCCTTGATGAACACATTGGCAAACCCATCAAAAATGTTTTGGTGTTTGGAAAAATAAAAACAAAACTGGTAAAAAGCACACTTCGTACAAACGTACACATCGTGCTCGAAAATCCAAAAGAAAACTTCTCTTACTTTTGAAAAGAAAGAAATTTGCTTCTCCAAAAATTTTCACTTGGCTTCTCCCCCTTTTGACAATGATTTCATCAAGCATAGGAATTATGTTCATTAATGGATAAGAGCTTAGCATACATATAGCATATCATGTCATTTGTTGCAATAAAAAGAAGATGAACCCATCTATAATATAGCAAGCATGCATTAAAATATAACCATGAACCAAAGAGTTTACAATTAAGCTTGAATCAACAATCAAAATTCATGATTTCATACGAATTATAATGCAACATCTTAACAAGCACATAGGTTGAAAAATAAACACTAAACATATAGACCTATTGCATTTATCACTCTTTCTCAAATAACCTTTAGCAGAAAATAACCAAGAGAATTTTTAACTTTTTCTTTTCTTGAGCCTTTTTGCTTATATTTTTCTCTTTTATTCTGGGTACGTCCCTATCGTCAAGACTGTTTCCAGGGATTCGGCACCCATTATTTTGCTCACATTGAATACTTCCTTGTCATCAAGACTATTTCCAAGGATTCGGTATTCATTTTTTCCATATTTTTATTCTCTTTTCACAATAAGAAATTAAAGCTATTCGAGGAATAACAATTCAATAAAGCATATATATAGAGCATTTAGAAATCAAACCACATGCTAGCGTCAACATTGCATATTTACTTAATTCAAATATAGAATTTAAGTGTCATGCATCATCTCCCTTAAAAAGCAAAATCTAAATCTCATGCAAAGACTAGAATACAAACAAGCTATGTTAGAGACAAATAAACCTTCAAAGTATTGCTAGCATGTACAAGAAAATACCACATGTATAAACAAAGCTCTCTTTTCTCAATTTTTCTCATTGTCATATTTTTTGCTTGATAAAACCATGAGGTACAAACTCCCCCTCAAATCATGCCAAAAGGATGAATTATCCCCAATTCACCACGAAGAAAAGCAAAACGATTAGAATCCAAAGGTTTAGTGAAAATATCAGTAAGTTGCAAGTTTGTGTCCAAAAACTGCAATTCAACATCTCCCTTCTCAACATGATCCCTCAAAAAATGAAAGCGAATATCAATGTGCTTTGTGCGTGAGTGTTGAACATGATTCTTAGCAATGTTAATAGCACTAGTATTATCACAAAAGAGAGGTACTTTCTCAAAAGTAAGTCCATAATATTTCAAAGTAGATAAAAGTCAAAGAATCTATGAACAACAACTAGCAGCAGCAACATATTCAGATTCAGCAGTTGATTGAGAAATACTAGATTGTTTCCTAGAAGACCATGGAATCAATGATGTATCAAGAAAATGACATGTTCCACCCGTACTTTTCCTATCAATTCTACAACCACCAAAATCAGCATCGGAATATCCACTTAAGCATATAGAAGATGAAGTAGAATACCAAATTCCAAACTCAAGTGTATGATTTAAATACCTCATTATTTACTTGACAACTTAACGATATGAAGCACGAGGAGAAGCTTGAAAGCGTGCACACAAACACACAGCAAATTGTATGTCTGGCCTAGAAGCAGTTAGATACAACAAAGATCCAATCATACTTCTATACTCCTTTTGATCAACAGCTTCACCATCTTCATCAGGATCCAACACAGCTGTAGAATCAATTGGTGTTGAAATTGGCTTGCAATTCTCCATCTTGAACAGTCTTAAAAGATCCTTCGTGTACTTCGTTTGATGCATAAATGTACCTTGAGGTGTTTGCTTAATTTGCAATCCCAAAAAGTACGATAACTCATCCAGCATGCTCATCTCAAATTCTCTGCACATAGTCTCAGCAAACTCCACAACCAAAGCATGAGTCGAACAACCAAAGATGATATCATCCACATAAATCTGAACGAACAGTTGATTATCACCATGCTTAAGAACAAAAAGCGTTTTGTCAACCTTTCCCATTGTAAAACCTTTCGCAAGCAAAAAGTTCTTAAGCCTATCATACCACTCTAGGTGCTTGTTTCAAGCCATACAAAGCTTTAGACAATTTAAAAACATGGTTGGGAAAATCAGGATTTTCAAAACCTGGTGGTTTTTTGACATAAACTTCTTCCTGTATAAAACGATTTAGAAAAGCACTTTTTACATCTATTTGATATAATTTAAAACCTTTTGAAGCAGCAAAAGCCAACAAAAGTCTAATTGCCTCAATTCTAGCAACAGGAGCAAAAGTTTCATTAAAATCCAAACCCTCCACCTGGGTAAAACTTTGAGCAACAAGTCTAGCTTTATTTCTCACAATCAAACCATCCTCATTTTGTTTATTTTTGAAAACCCACTTGGTTCCAATAATATTATGTCCAGAAGGTGGTTCAACTAAAGTCCAAACTATGTTTCTCTTGAAATTTTCAAGTTCTTCATGCATGGCGTTAATCTGCGATTCATTAGTTAATGCGTGTGACACATCTTTGGGTTCAAAAGAAGCAACAAATGCAGAATTTACATAAACATCATGAGTCGTTACCTTAGACCTTGTAGTCCGCTCACCTATATTACTAATGATTTGTTCTGGCGGATATTGTCGTTGAATGTGCAATGGAGCAGCGACTTCCGAACTTGATTCACGCCCTGTATCAATACTGATCAAAGTTGTAGTCTCCGGAGGACCATCTCGATCAGCATCAACAGTACCCGAACCCGATGAGCCTGGCCGGTCTGACTGCACCTCCTGTGTCAGTCTGATCGGCGGCGTGCCGGCAGTCTGACCGGCCTAGCGCCTGGTCTGACTGGCCGAGCCGACCTTATCGTTGTCGTCATTGCTCTCGTCTTCAAAAATACGACCATCCTCCCCCTGAACCTGTGACAATGTACCTGCAATATCGGGTCTAGTACCTGGACTAGCCTCATCAAAAGAAACTTCGCAAGTCTCAACGATTTTGTTAGTCTCCAAAATAAGTACACGATAGCCACGAGTATGTTCGGGGTAACCAAGAAACAATCCATCAGTAAAACGTGACTCAAACTTATTCAAATGTCCAGATTTCAAGACAAAGCACTTGCAACAAAAAATACGCAAATGTGAAACTTTGGGTTGACGTCCAAATCGAAGTTCATAAGAAGTTTTTCCAAGTATTGACCTCAGGAAAACCCGATTTGAAATATAGCATGCAACGTTAATAGCCTCAGCCCAAAATTTTCTAGGAGTTTTATATTCATCCAACATCGTTCTAGCCATCTCAACCAAAACACGATTTTTCCTTCCAACAACACCGTTTTGTTGCGGAACACGAGGAGAAGAAAATTCATGTTCAAGACCTCTTTCATTTCAAAATTGTTCAAAAGAAGCATTTTTAAACTCACCACCATTATCACTTCGAATTCTTTTCAAAGAACCAGGAAATTCAAGATCCAATCGAACAAACAAACCACGAAAGTGTTGAAAAGCCAAGAATATCAAGAAAAATCGTCAACAATAACCAATACATACCACTTTCCTCCATGGATTGCACTCTAGCTGGACCAACAGTGTCCTTGTGTAATAGCTGTCCCGGTGCATCCGTCATCACAGAAACAATAGGAGCATGTGAAGAAGCAACCATCTTAGCATGACGACACGGTGTACAAACCAAATCAAGATCTTTCTTAAGTTTAGGCAAACCATGAACAAGATCCAAACCACTTAACCTAGTGAGATGATCAAAACCAACATGTCCAAGTCTATGATGCCAAAACATCACATCTTTATCAAACTTAGCAACCAAACATGTTATCACAGGTGAAACAGGATTTTCAAAATCAGCTTTAAACACTCTTCCATAGCGAGAAATACTCAACACAGAATCACCACAAGAATCAAAAACTTTACTTCCAGTTTTCTTAAAGTGAACCTCAAAATCTTCATCAACAATTTGTGAAACCGAAAGCAAATTGTACTTTAAGTCCTCAACCAAAGCTACATTCTTCAATTCAAATTTCTCATTTACCTTAACCAAACCTGTAGCGAGAACGGCACTTGTAGAAACATCACCAAAGATAATTGATTCAGTCTTGGATGCCTTTCTGAGAGAGGAGAACCAATTTTTATCACCGGTCATGTGTCGCGAAGAACCGGAATCCACGATCCACACGTTCTCCTTCCTTGCCACCAAAGCCTACACACAAGCATATGTCGAAGCCTCAGTACTGGGGTTAGATGATAATAAAAATTTAGGAATCCAGTACTGAGACACACGACCAGAAGATCCAATAGGCATATATCCACGTGCAAAAACAGTTTAATAATTTTTCGAAAAATCTCTCCGAGGCCAGTCTGACCGTGGGTGTCCAGCCGGTCTGACCGGGGGCCGGTCTGACCGCCGCTTCACCGTTGGTCTGACCGGTGTCCAGTCTGATCGAGACTCTGCAGCCGGTTTGACCGGTTGCCAGTCTGACCACGGGACCCACTACGGTCTGACCGGTTTCCTCGAGGGAAAACCAGATTTTTGCCACTTTGATTTTGCAAAAGCAACCTCTCTCTCCTTTTTCTGTTTATGAGCTAATCTGAAACAAAAACCAACAATATATCCATCTTTGCCACAAAAAGAACAAGTATATTTTTGTCGGAAGCACTCCGAACCCCTTAGTATATTTGAAGGATGAATAGCTAATCACAATTCTTCCATCAAACATATTAAGACATTCGACGCTCCGAGAGAAAAATATGTGAGACATTGCCGGGCCTTTAGCCTGCCAGTCAACTTCAGCCTGAGATGTGCCCGTCAAACCACTCGAAGGTGGCGACCAGATGTGTTACACAATCAGGAGACTTGACAAAAATGGCTAAAGATCCACAACATCTCAAATATCTTTAACTCATACTCATGTTTAATATGTCCCTAACAAAAGGAACACACTAAACACTTTATCCAAGCACATGATATCTCAACATAGGGAGTTCTAAGTTCTAAGTTTTAGTTAGGATCATACAACTTATAACTTAGATACACATGGCCGATTGGCTGAATAGATAGGTTCGCGGAAGCATCTTCTACCCAAAAGATCTTTCATGCAACCGACTAGGATAGACCCTAGTAAGAACCATCCTGGAAGAAAGAAACTTCCCCAACGAAATCATCCTCCACAGGAGTGATCTCACCTGCAACCAATTCTAAACATGCAACAATATAACAATACAAGCAAGAGTCAGTACAATAAATTGTACTGGCAAGCACCAAGCAAGCCTAGTACTCTACATGCATGGCAAATTCAAAGTAAAGCTAACATGGGATAATTTTAGCATAAAGCAAATTTAGTTTGCAAAGAGCATTTCAAATTTCAGATTTATTTTCAAATAAATTTCAGCAAGAATACACTTAGCAATTGGGCACCAAATTAGATGATAAACACATATAACATAGCTCCTTATTGCCTTCCATGGCAGCAAGGATATAAACCACAAATTACATCACATTTTGAAGTTCAAATTCAGCTTTAGAAGAATAAAACACATGTCTAAACTCATGACATATTCACACGCCGCTCTTGACCGTGAGCACGGCTAATCGATTAGTTTTAACTCTGCAGAGTATGTACACTTTACCCACATGATGCGAAATAATAATCATGCAAAAGCATGGCACGCGATACATAAGTACCCGATTTATTACTCACAACAAAGCCCTTCCAAGATTCATGATTTAGCCTTACACCAGCACGATACGTGTTACTCCATCCTAAGCCATACTCGATATATGACCTAGAACCGTTAAGTGGCGGGCCCACGCCTTAAACTTAACGCCGTGGTGGCGGACGCAACGGGAACCCACCCACGTGGCACAATACCGTTGTATTGGACAGACTTAGTCACCTAAACTACCACGTCGGGGTAAATAGAAAGTTCCTCTGAATCAACGACTAATTCCTCAGAATTATCGACTAACTCATACACACCGGCCTACCAGAATGTAAGGCTAAATCATAAATAATTTACTAAGCTTGGGCTATCCCATACTAGCACATGTGGTTGTACTGTATACGAAATGAATTGACGCTGAGTGAAGTCCTTAGGTCGGTTTGGGCACACTGTCCCCCTATCAGTACACAACTAAACACAATATGTGTACCACATGCGGCCCAAACCTAAAATCCACATTTTCCAACATTTTATTTAACAAATATCACATTTTATCATTTTAATCCAGATCATAAAATAAATCATTTAATATATGTAATTGAGCCCAAATGGTAAGTAAACTCATCACTAAGCATGGCTGAGCATTTTTATAGACTTGCTATCTCAAACATCATTCTTAATGTGACACAATGGATTGTTCCTAAGGTTTTGGAATAATGGTTAAGGTCTTTTGTGGAGTTCAGGTGATAATGCAAGTTAAGGAGTTGATCTAACAAATTTTACAAGATTTTAATGGATTAGTGTACAATAGACATGCATATTTTGCAAACTTTTCAAAAACATCCAAATCATAGGTTCAATGTGATCAAAGAAGGGAGGTGGCTTGCCTTGCTCTTCCACTCCTTGCTCAGCTACAAAGTAGGCCTCCTCGAGACTCGGCTGCGAATCGTCTAAACATACATATGCAAAAATTTAAAATTTAAACATACATAAAAATCCAACATGCTCTAAAATGAATGCTTTTTTTTTATGGAGTTGGTGTGCTCCGTGTTAGTTTGATTTTCAGTGAAAGAAACTTCAATCTAACAGTTTACATTCAAAGTTACAGATTTTTTTTAAAGTGTTTACATGTTAATTATGGTCCTAAATGCATTTCGAATTATTGAGACATAAATCTTTATGATTCTATTAAGTCAAACATTTTTATGATGCAAAGCATGAAAATATGATTCTAACATAATTTAGTTTGCAATTTTTAGAGTCAGGATGAATTTTCTACCACTTTCTAAAGTTCTGACATTTTTCAGTTGATAGGAAATTAGTTTTTGTATTTTCTCAAATTTTCATACATCATTTTCCTTTCTCAGGTCCACCAGACAGAGACTAACATTTTGCGCAAAAGCCCCTGGGTTCTCAGGAAATAGATCCCGCAGCCCCTAGCACGTGTTCCAGGATTTTATTCAAAATGGGACTTGAGTTCTATGTTATTTACAGATTAGTGCACGACCCCATATGTAAGTGATTGCTCGGGCTGCTAATGCATCCCTGGGAGTCTTTAAATTTCAAAAGCCATGCCCTTGCTCTGGACAGAACAGAGCAGCAGCACAGCCACGAACTTCACAGTATCACCAGCGGCGAACAGCGGCGATTCAGCTCAAGCTCCCAAAACAAAAAGTGTAGAGAACAACCGTACGAACCTATTGGTGTTTTTCTTGCAAGCCTTGGTGCTCTATAGCGGCTGTCAGGGTGTTAGAAGCGGCGGCTAAGCTCGGCTTGCACATGCATGTGAGTTTTGAGGCTCGATCTAATCGTGCATGCGTATGGTAAGGACTCTAGGGACTACTAGGAGGCTCACCAAGAAGCAAACGCAGCTCAGCGAAGTCTTGGCGACGGTGTACTGGTTCGGCGACGGCGCGGCTGCTACGGTCGTCGTCGACGGCGTATCCCCAGGCTTCTACTGCAAAGAGAGGAAGCATGACTCTGTTTAGATCAGCACAAGGTAGCTCTAGGCGGAAAATATTGCGCCGAAGCTCACCAGAGAAGGAGAAAGAAAGGAATGGCGTCGGTGGCTGGGATTGGAGAAGAAGAAGAGGATCTCCCACTGTGGTCCACCTCGCGTCGATTCCTTCGGGATTCTTGATCTACAGGTGTTGATGAAGCTCGTGACGAAGTGGCTCAGCCTGTAACGAACTATGGAAGCCGGGCGACGAGCAAAGGCGAAGCAGCGGCGTCCAGAGCGCGACGGTGTTCCGATTTGACGCGGTCACGTTCCCGGAGATTGGCTGCACCAAATGAGGTGTTCTTGGTGGTGTTAGAGACGGCATTGAGAGGGGATTACAGAACGCATATTGAACGGAAATGGGCTCACCGGATTGCGACGGAGTCGAGGACTTATCTCGCCGGCGCCGGAGATGGCGCCTCCGTTCCCGGCGAATCCGAGGCGGGGTACCTCGGTTCTTCCGCGAAACGAGACAAGGGCGAGAGGGAGAGAAAGTTGGTCGGCCGGTCGGGTTAAGTATGGTCGCCGGCGGAGATGGACAGGAGGAGCTCGCCCTCTCCCGTGCTCGACGCGTGCTCACACGCGTGGCATGCGAGTTCAGGCAGTGGGCCCGTGTGGAGAGGAATGTGAGGCTGACAATGGGGTCCCGCCATGCAGCCCTGGCCCACATGGCAGCGACTAGTGAGAGAGAAGGAGAGGAGATCTAGGTTTTGGCCAAGTCTGGAACAGAGGTGGAATTCCATCTTTGGGTTCAGTTTAAAATTAGTTCTAGGCAGAGTTAGAGCTAGTGACCAAAGGCAAAGTTGTAAAGCAATGATTGAACTACAGTTTGGATCGAGTTTTACAGCCTAGGAGTTCAAGATCCAATTTTGGCAGTGTGTCAAAGAGTGCTCCAGAGAATCTGTCAAAATCCTGTGCTTAAGTGTTTAGAGAGTTGTTTGGTTGATCTAATGAGTTGATAAGCTAAATTAAAATCCACATTTAGTTTCTAAGGTCAGCAAGAAGTTACCACAAATTCTTCCCAGATTTTTGAGTTGTTCCAAGAATTTTTCTTTGATCCATTGGTTTTAGTTAAATATGAACATGATCCTATAAACCATATGCATACACCACAAAATGCACAAACAAGCAAGCATATAAGTTTTAAACAAAAGTTTTATTTATTTTACTTCTTCCACCATTTCCATGTTTTCCAAACACCCAAAGTCATGGTATGTGACAGCCTACCCCCTTACAAAAGAATCTCGACCCCGAGATTCGTCATTCTAGAAGAAACTAGGGAATTCGGCCTTAAGTCGGTCCTCTCGTTCCCATGTGGCTTCATCCACAGTATGATTGCTCCATTGTACTCGAAGCATCTTGATGGAGCTTTTGCGGGTACGCCGTTCACTTTCTTCGAGAATACGAATTGGGTATTCTTGATAGGAGAGATTTGGCTTTAGATTAATGTCTTCAAGTGAGGTGTGCTCAATCGGAGTTCGAAGACATTTCTTAAGTTGAGAAACATGGAATACATCATGTATATTAGACAACTGAAATGGCAATTCCAATTGATAGGCTACTTGTCCACGCTTAGATATTATTTGGTATGGCCCAATATATCGTGGAGCAAGCTTGCCATGAATTTGGAATCGTTGAGTGCCTCTCATGGGTGATACTTTAAGATAGACATGGTCACCAACATCAAAACTTAGCTCTCGTCGACGACGATCAGAGTAGCTCTTTTGACGAGTTTGAGCTTCTTTTAATCGGTCCCGAATAAGAGTGACATTCTTTTCAGCTTCATTAATGATAGCAGGTCCAAAGAATTGTCTTTCTCCTACTTCGGACCAATAAAGAGGAGTCCTACAATTTCTCCCATAAAGAGCTTCAAATGGTGACATTTGGATACTTGATTGAAAGCTATTGTTGTAGGAGAATTCAGCAAAAGATAGACATTTCTCCCAGTTAGTGTTATGTTCAAGCACACAAGCTCGGAGCATGTCTTCAAGTATTTGGTTTGTTCTTTCCACTTGACCTCCTGTTTGTGGATGAAAGGCGGTGCTGAGGAACAATTTGGTTCCGAGAAGTTCATGTAAATTTTTCCAAAATCTGGATGTAAATTGTGTTCCTCGATCGGATACTATGACTTTTGGTACGCCATGAAGCCTTACAATATGAGTCAAATATAACTCTGCTAGCTTGGCTCCACCATAAGTCACATGCACCGGAATGAAGTGAGCCACTTTAGTCAGTCGATCCATAATAACCCATATAGAATCATGTCCATTGGGTGTTTTAGGAAGACCGGTAATAAAATCCATTCCAACTTCATCAAATTTCCATTCAGGTACTTGCAAAGGTTGGAGTAGCCCAGCGGGTCGTTGATGTTCAGCTTTGACACGTTGGCACACATCGCAAATTGCAACATATGCTGCTATGTCACGCCTCAGGCTAGGCCACCAATATTGAGTGCGAATATCCTGGTACATCTTAGTGCAACCCGGATGGATAGACAAAGGTGTTTGATGTGCTTCATCAAGAATGGTTTCTCGAAGGTGTTGATTATTGGGAACAAAGATTCGTTTGCCAAGCATAACCATACCATCAGAATTAAGAGTGTATATAGATTGTGGCTTTGAATTGATTTCTTTCATAATTTCAGCTACTTCCTCATCAATGGACTGAGCAGCTTTAATTTGAGAATAGAGAGTAGGTTGTAATGCTAGTGCAGCAACATAACCATCCTCTACCAATCCCAAATTCAATTTCTGAAATTCAGAGGACAACGATGGCTGATTTATTGTCTCAATAACGGCAAGGTGATGTAGCTTCCGGCTTAAAGCATCAGCTACTACATTTGCTTTACCGGGATGATAATGAATACCGAGATCATAATCTTTAATGAGTTCTAACCATCTTCTTTGCCTTAGGTTCAGATCTGGTTGGGTAAAGAAATATTTCAAACTCTTATGATCGGTAAAGATTTCGCACCGATTACTGACCAAATAATGGCGCCAAATCTTTAGAGCATGCACCACAGCTGCTAGCTCTAAGTCATGAGTTGGATAATTGATCTCGTGTGGTCGTAACTGACGAGAAGCATAAGCCACTACTTTTCCTTCTTGCATCAGTACACAACCGAGACCATGATGTGAGGCATCGCAGTAAACATTAAAAGGTTTAAGAACATCAGGCATCACTAGCACTGGGGCTGTTGTGAGCCTTCTTTTAAGTTCATGAAAACTTGTTTCACATGCCTCAGACCATATGAATTTATTTTCTTTTTTAAGAAGTTGAGTCAAGGGCCTAGCAATTTTGGAGAAATTTTCAATGAAACGACGGTAGTAACCAGCTAGTCCAAGAAAACTTCTAATTTCAGGAACATTTTGTGGTTGCTTCCAATTAAGTACGTTCTGTACATTTCTTGGATTCACAGCAATACCACCTTCAGAAAGTACATGACCAAGAAATTCAACTTCTTTTAACCAAAATTCACATTTTGAGAATTTGGCATAAAGTTGATGCTCACGGAGTTTATCGAGTACCATACGTAAATGTTGCGCATGTTCCTCTTCACTCTTGGAGTAGATGAGTATATCATCAATGAATACCACCACAAATTTATCAAGATATTCCATGAAGATTTTATTCATCATATTCATGAAAGAAGCAGGAGCAATGGTTAATCCAAAAGAGACTACGGTGTATTCAAATAAACCGTAGCGAGTTGTGAATGCGGTTTTAGGAATGTCCTCCGGTCTGATTTTAAGCTGAAAATATCCCAATCTAAGATCAATTTTTGAGAAGACACGAGTTCCGGTTAACTGATCAAATAAATCATCGATCCTAGGAAGAGGATATTTATTTTTGATGGTGACTTCATTCAGAGGTCGATAATCCACGCACATTCGCATGGTTCCATCTTTCTTTGGTACAAACAACACTGGACAGCCCCAGGGAGATGAACTAGGACGAATGAAACCTTTAGCCAATTGCTCATTGAGTTGCTTCTTTAATTCCATCAAATTTTCAGAAGTCATTCGATATGGCCTTTTGGCTATAGGTGCTGTCCCAGGGATTAAATCTATCACAAATTCAATGTCACGATCTGGAGGCATCCCTGGTAATTCGTCAGGAAACACATCGGAATATTCATTCACGATGGGTACTGATTTTAACTCCGGTATAGAGAGAGATTGTATAGAGGGTTGATTTGAAGTGGAGGTTTGTTCAAAGGTAAACCTAACAAATTGACCATCGGTGCTACGAAGAGTTACAGTTCTATGAGCACAATCAATGGTTCCCTCATGTTTAGTTAACCAATCCATCCCAAGAATGACATTTAGGCCCAAGGTGTCTAATAATATGAGGTTAGCTTTAAACTTTACCCCGTCTATTATAAGTTCTACACCTTTGCATAGAAGTTTGGTGACCATGGTGGATCCAGGAGATTGGATGCGCATAGCATCGCTAAGAAATTCTGTTTTCAAGTCAAGTTGTTTTGCTTTCAAGGTTGACATGAATGAATGAGTTGCACCGGAATCAAAAAGAACTGTTAAGGGAATGGAGTGCACAAGAAATGTACCAAGTACGACACCAGGTGCGTCGGTTGCTTCTTCTGCAGTGACATGGTTGAGCCGGCCCCTTCCAAAAGTTGGAGCTGGCTTGGGAACAGCAGGAGCTCCACGCTGTCCAGGCTGAACTTGAGGAGGACCACGAGGCTGCTGCGGTGCTCCCTGTGAGTACGGTCCGGATTTTCCAGTCTTCGGATAAGGACAGCTAGGAGAATAATGCCCCTTCTTGCCGCAATTGTAGCAGGTGACATTGGCATTACGAGATGCATCTCCCGCAGCTTGAACTGCGCGAGGAACTTGACGAACTAACTGAGTTTGCGGACGTGGAGGCACATACATCTGCCGAGGTGGCTGAGGTGCCATAGGACGAACCGCAGGAGATGGAGCAAGACGAGGCCGAGTGGAACTGCTGCTGCCAGCAAATTTCTTTGCAGCCCACTTACGCTTACGGTCTTCAACCACTTCCTTTTCACTTGATTCAACACGAAGGGCTTTATCAACCAGTGTCTTCATGCTGGTGATTTCATGAGCAGCAAGAGCATGCTTGAGTTCAGGTGCAAGACGATCTCTGCATAGCTCAACCTTCTTTGTTTCAGTGTTCAAGTCAGAAGCGGCATATCTACCCAGATAATTGAAGCGTTCCATGAACTCCATGAAGGGCATGTTTCCTTGCTTCAAGTTAAGAAATTCTTTCTTTTTGATTTCCATGAGACCAGCAGGGATGTGAGCAGACCTGAATCCCTCACGGAAAACAGTCCAAGTGATTGGCTCGTCAGGAGGAATGAGAGTCTTGTATGTCTCCCACCAAGCAGCTGCTGCACCTTGCAGGTAGTAAGCAGCAAAGGTAGCCTTCTCTACAGGATCACACCGGCAAAGGTTCAGCTTGATTTCAATATCACGAAGCCAATCATCTGCTGCGAGTGGATCAGCCGCAGAGGAGAAATGAGGTGGATGTGTTCGTTGAACATCTGCTAGCTTGGAGGGTGCTTGATTGGCCTGCTGTGCCATGGCAGCCCCCATGTTTTCAGAGTTCGCTACCATCCTTTCAAAAAGTCGGTTCTGATTAGCCAGGAGTTGAGCAAGAGATGGTTCATCATCATGCTGTTCTGCAGTGGCAGCACGGCGACTACCCCCGGCACGTCCAGAAGAATATGGGCCAGTGCGAGGCTGACTCGCTCCCTCACCATTGGCATCATCAGTAAGAGCAGCCATAGAGTGAGTATGTGTCATCCTGCACTCAAAGTACAAAAGTACATGAGCTGCTTGAGCATAGAATTGGCATATACATTACCCTAAATAGGTAGCATACAGGAATGATTTCTTATAGCCGAATTTACAAGTCATCCATCATATATTTGCATGAAACAAATTTCTGGACAGCAAGCAATCCATTCCAAAAGGAGCATAAGTTCATTCCAGTACATTAGTTTTAAAGGATCTAAGTGATCACAGATACATAGGAGTGGATAATGGTCATAAGAAACCAAGTTCATGCCTTGGTGTTACAAAATTTTGACCGTTAAAAAGATTACATATTAGGGTGTCATCTCATACATCTTAAAGAAAAGAAATGAAAGTTACACCCCATACATATTCTTTTTTTCCAGTACACCATTCTATGGAACTTCGGAGAATCCGATGGGAGGTTGAGGCACTGTGGTTGACGGAGTGGCCATAGTCAAACGGTATTGTCTCCCATTCCGCTCGAACTCATAGAATGGCCCCAGCAGCACCGGATCTCCAGCAAGTGCAGGGTCTGGCATGGTTCGACGATTTCGATGAAAACCAACTCTCATGCGGGCTCTAGTGTTTATATTATGATAAATACCCATGGGAGGAGGCAAAGTCTCTGTAAGAGGCTGGAGTTCATGATTCCCATAAATGATGGCATTATCAAAATGTCCTTGATGCCCGAGTGGTTCTATTCGTCTATCAAGCATGACCACCCTAGCTTGCAATCTACGCAACTCAGTTATAGTTTTTGCGAGATATCTATCCATAGCACGAACCAGGCCAGCTAAGAATAGTCCTGGAGTGTCAATCTCTCTCATGTTTCCCTCAAGACCTGGATAGTAATTAGCGGAGGATTGGTTTGCGCGAGCTGGAAAGAAATGAAAGAACCCGTCCAACCCTGGCCTATAATGTCGGTAATACACAATTGCTTGTAATGCAGCTTCCTGCATTGCTGAGGGTGCATCCCAACCACAAGCTTGAAAGTAAAGGGGTGGTTCATGGGTCCAAAGTCCCTGTATACACAGCTCAGCCATATATGCTCGAGAGATGAACTCCGCTCATGAGAAAAGAAATGATACTCCGGTGGATGATCATAACCTAGATGTTGCAGCATAAGCCACAGGATGTGAGGCAGTGCTTCTTCCTCAAAACCTCCAGAATAGCCCAATGGTTGCCACATAGAAGACATCTACAAGATATTGGAAGTATAGACCAATTAGAATTTCAATTGAAACTCTTTAGGAACTTGGAAATGGTGTTTTGGTTATTATGTCAGGTTCTGTCCAGCATACTGCTCTGAGTAAAAAAGGAGAAGGACGACTGCTACCAGTTCTAGAATCTGCGCAGTTTAAAAAAAAATTATATATATTTTTTTTAAAAAAAATGCGAGCATGTAAAATTCGTACCAATTTTGGGACATGCTAAGAACTTAATGTAGAGGCTTTACAAACATCTGGTGGCCTTTATATGACAAGCAAACTATGGTTAAAACAAATCAATTCCATCCTACCCCGTACTACCACTTTCTAGGCCATCGATAAAATTTTAAAATTTTAAATTCAAATTTAGAAGGGAAAAATTTAGTCATCTATTTACTGAGAAGTTTTCAAATCATTCAAGTACTGACTTGAATCGAATTTGTTTCATTCATTCCTTATTCTTCTCTATGAGTTACTACTTCTCTATTTATGCATCTTCCGGTCCTATAGAGTAAGATGGGGTTTTAAAATCAAAACAAGATTCATAGGAAAGGAATTTATCCAAACAGGGCTAAGAAGTAAGAATAGATTAGATTTTGCAAATATATTTTAGTGAGGACATTACCCTCAAAATATTTTCTTTTGAAGCCTTACTACCGCTCAGTCTTAAAAGGGTTCCTACAGTCGGTCTTGGCTCTGATACCAAAGCTGTCGGAAGCACTCCGAACCCCTTAGTATATTTGAAGGATGAATAGCTAATCACAATTCTTCCATCAAACATATTAAGACATTCGACGCTCCGAGAGAAAAATATGTGAGACATTGCCGGGCCTTTAGCCTGCCAGTCAACTTCAGCCTGAGATGTGCCCGTCAAACCACTCGAAGGTGGCGACCAGATGTGTTACACAATCAGGAGACTTGACAAAAATGGCTAAAGATCCACAACATCTCAAATATCTTTAACTCATACTCATGTTTAATATGTCCCTAACAAAAGGAACACACTAAACACTTTCATCCAAGCACATGATATCTCAACATAGGGAGTTCTAAGTTCTAAGTTTTAGTTAGGATCATACAACTTATAACTTAGATACACATGGCCGATTGGCTGAATAGATAGGTTCGCGGAAGCATCTTCTACCCAAAAGATCTTTCATGCAACCGACTAGGATAGACCCTAGTAAGAACCATCCTGGAAGAAAGAAACTTCCCCAACGAAATCATCCTCCACAGGAGTGATCTCACCTGCAACCAATTCTAAACATGCAACAATACAACAATACAAGCAAGAGTCAGTACAATAAATTGTACTGGCAAGCACCAAGCAAGCCTAGTACTCTACATGCATGGCAAATTCAAAGTAAAGCTAACATGGGATAATTTTAGCATAAAGCAAATTTAGTTTGCAAAGAGCATTTCAAATTTCAGATTTATTTTCAAATAAATTTCAGCAAGCATACACTTAGCAATTGGGCACCAAATTAGATGATAAACACATATAACATAGCTCCTTATTGCCTTCCATGGCAGCAAGGATATAAACCACAAATTACATCACATTTTGAAGTTCAAATTCAGCTTTAGAAGAATAAAACACATGTCTAAACTCATGACATATTCACACGCCGCTCTTGACCGTGAGCACGGCTAATCGATTAGTTTTAACTCTGCAGAGTATGTACACTTTACCCACATGATGCGAAATAATAATCATGCAAAAGCATGGCACGCGATACATAAGTACCCGATTTATTACTCACAACAAAGCCCTTCCAAGATTCATGATTTAGCCTTACACCAGCACGATACGTGTTACTCCATCCTAAGCCATACTCGATATATGACCTAGAACCGTTAAGTGGCGGGCCCACGCCTTAAACTTAACGCCGTGGTGGCGGACGCAATGGGAACCCACCCACGTGGCACAATACCGTTGTATTGGACAGACTTAGTCACCTAAACTACCACGTCGGGGTAAATAGGAAGTTCCTCTGAATCAACGACTAATTCCTTAGAATTATCGACTAACTCATACACACCGGCCTACCAGAATGTAAGGCTAAATCATAAATAATTTACTAAGCTTGGGCTATCCCATACTAGCACATGTGGTTGTACTGTATACGAAATGAATTGACGCTGAGTGAAGTCCTTAGGTCGGTTTGGGCACACTCTCCCCCTATCAGTACACAACTAAACACAATATGTGTACCACATGCGGCCCAAACCTAAAATCCACATTTTCCAACATTTTATTTAACAAATATCACATTTTATCATTTTAATCCAGATCATAAAATAAATCATTTAATATATGTAATTGAGCCCAAATGGTAAGTAAACTCATCACTAAGCATGGCTGAGCATTTTTATAGACTTGCTATCTCAAACATCATTCTTAATGTGACACAATGGATTGTTCCTAAGGTTTTGGAATAATGGTTAAGGTCTTTTGTGGAGTTCAGGTGATAATGCAAGTTAAGGAGTTGATCTAACAAATTTTACAAGATTTTAATGGATTAGTGTACAATAGACATGCATATTTTGCAAACTTTTCAAAAACATCCAAATCATAGGTTCAATGTGATCAAAGAAGGGAGGTGGCTTGCCTTGCTCTTCCACTCCTTGCTCAGCTACAAAGTAGGCCTCCTCGAGACTCGGCTGCGAATCGTCTAAACATACATATGCAAAAATTTAAAATTTAAACATACATAAAAATCCAACATGCTCTAAAATGAATGCTTTTTTTTATGGAGTTGGTGTGCTCCGTGTTAGTTTGATTTTCAGTGAAAGAAACTTCAATCTAACAGTTTACATTCAAAGTTACAGATTTTTTTTAAAGTGTTTACATGTTAATTATGGTCCTAAATGCATTTCGAATTATTGAGACATAAATCTTTATGATTCTGTTAAGTCAAACATTTTTATGACGCAAAGCATGAAAATATGATTCTAACATAATTTAGTTTGCAATTTTTAGAGTCAGGATGAATTTTCTACCACTTTCTAAAGTTCTGACATTTTTCAGTTGATAGGAAATTAGTTTTTGTATTTTCTCAAATTTTCATACATCATTTTCCTTTCTCAGGTCCACCAGACAGAGACTAACATTTTGCGCAAAAGCCCCTGGGTTCTCAGGAAATAGATCCCGCAGCCCCTAGCACGTGTTCCAGGATTTTATTCAAAATGGGACTTGAGTTCTATGTTATTTACAGATTAGTGCACGACCCCATATGTAAGTGATTGCTCGGGCTGCTAATGCATCCCTGGGAGTCTTTAAATTTCAAAAGCCATGCCCTTGCTCTGGACAGAACAGAGCAGCAGCACAGCCACGAACTTCACAGTATCACCAGCGGCGAACAGCGGCGATTCAGCTCAAGCTCCCAAAACAAAAAGTGTAGAGAACAACCGTACGAACCTATTGGTGTTTTTCTTGCAAGCCTTGGTGCTCTATAGCGGCTGTCAGGGTGTTAGAAGCGGCGGCTAAGCTCGGCTTGCACATGCATGTGAGTTTTGAGGCTCGATCTAATCGTGCATGCGTATGGTAAGGACTCTAGGGACTACTAGGAGGCTCACCAAGAAGCAAACGCAGCTCAGCGAAGTCTTGGCGACGGTGTACTGGTTCGGCGACGGCGCGGCTGCTACGGTCGTCGTCGACGGCGTATCCCCAGGCTTCTACTGCAAAGAGAGGAAGCATGCCTCTGTTTAGATCAGCACAAGGTAGCTCTAGGCGGAAAATATTGCGCCGAAGCTCACCAGAGAAGGAGAAAGAAAGGAATGGCGTCGGCGGCTGGGATTGGAGAAGAAGAAGAGGATCTCCCACTGTGGTCCACCTCGCGTCGATTCCTTCGGGATTCTTGATCTACAGGTGTTGATGAAGCTCGTGACGAAGTGGCTCAGCCTGTAACGAACTATGGAAGCAGGGCGACGAGCAAAGGCGAAGCAGCGGCGTCCAGAGCGCGACGGTGTTCCGATTTGACGCGGTCACGTTCCCGGAGATTGGCTGCACCAAATGAGGTGTTCTTGGTGGTGTTAGAGACGGCATTGAGAGGGGATTACAGAACGCATATTGAACGGAAATGGGCTCACCGGATTGTGACGGAGTCGAGGACTTATCTCGCCGGCGCCGGAGATGGCGCCTCCGTTCCCGGCGAATCCGAGGCGGGGTACCTCGGTTCTTCTGCGAAACGAGACAAGGGCGAGAGGGAGAGAAAGTTGGTCGGCCGGTCGGGTTAAGTATGGTCGCCGGCGGAGATGGACAAGAGGAGCTCGCCTTCTCCCGTGCTCGACGCGTGCTCACACGCGTGGCATGCGAGTTCAGGCAGTGGGCCCATGTGGAGAGGAATGTGAGGCTGACAATGGGGTCCCGCCATGCAGCCCTGGCCCACATGGCAGCGACTAGTGAGAGAGAAGGAGAGGAGATCTAGGTTTTGGCCAAGTCTGGAACAGAGGTGGAATTCCATCTTTGGGTTCAGTTTAAAATTAGTTCCAGGCAGAGTTAGAGCTAGTGACCAAAGGCAAAGTTGTAAAGCAATGATTGAACTACAGTTTGGATCGAGTTTTACAGCCTAGGAGTTCAAGATCCAATTTTGGCAGAGTGTCAAAGAGTGCTCCAGAGAATCTGTCAAAATCCTGTGCTTAAGTGTTTAGAGAGTTGTTTGGTTGATCTAATGAGTTGATAAGCTAAATTAAAATCCACATTTAGTTTCTAAGGTCAGCAAGAAGTTACCACAAATTCTTCCCAGATTTTTGAGTTGTTCCAAGAATTTTTCTTTGATCCATTGGTTTTAGTTAAATATGAACATGATCCTATAAACCATATGCATACACCACAAAATGCACAAACAAGCAAGCATATAAGTTTTAAACAAAAGTTTTATTTATTTTACTTCTTCCACCATTTCCATGTTTTCCAAACACCCAAAGTCATGGTATGTGACAATTTTTCACGATGATTCGACATATTGGTAGAATCAGAAAACTTAGTGATAATAATCCGGCCTAGGTGGGGTCGGCTGAGGCCCAATAACTTAAGGTTTCCCGGACCCCAACAGTTCTTAGGCACACCCACTCGGAGAAAGGCCCAATCTCCCTAAAAGACTAGTCCAATAGGGGAAGGGTGGCTCTCCCTTTTAAGGTGGCTTCCTCCTCCCAAGCTAAGCAAGGTGGGATTATTCAAAGGCTCACACGGTCGTTGCCCGACTTTGGCGTCTTTGCCAGCGGGTAATAGTGGAGGATGTCCTCATCACTTAGCAACACAAGCAACAACAGGAGGTTTTGCATGCACAACATTGGACTTTGAAGAAGATGTACTCAAGGTAGACATGATACCATCATATTTAAACATAGTTTTATTAGTATCAGGTTTAACTAAAATCTCACCACCTCTAGCACCAGCACCTAACACAACAGGAGGATGACTAGTATGATGAGCATAAGAATTAAAACCTAAACCACGGTTATGTGTGCTAACCTTAGATTGATCTAAAATCATGTTGAGCTTCTTTTTACCATCAGAAAATCTTAGCAAAGAATTTTTCAAATAAGAAACCTCTTTTTCTAAATTAGCACAATTTTCACAATCTACCATGACAACTTTGCTTTTACGACATTTGGGGCAAGAAAGCACTTCATTGGTTTTCACAACATCTTCCATGTACTTAACACGATCTAAAGCATCTTTTAGTTTCATTTTATTTAAATTAGATGTTGAGCAATCCAAAACATCATGAGATTGTTTTAACTTTTTAGCACAAATCATGTTAAACATCAAACTAGCATGAAAAGCAATTTGATATTTTTGCAACAACTTTTTAGTCAAAAACAACTCATCCAAAGTGCGTGTGTGCAAAGCAAAACTAAGAGCAAGAGAAGATTTATTTTTCAAATCATGGGCAGCATTGACATCTCTAATTTTTGAAATCACATTCATTAAAACCTCACAACTTTTGCAACCATCATCATTAGGAATAAGATATTTTAATCTAGCAATTTCAGAATTAAGAGATTCAATGATAAACTCCTGTTTTCTATACATTTTCTCACACTTCTTATTTTTTGCACTCAAAATATTAATAGCTTCCTCAAAAGCACTTACCTCATTGTCTTCACACTCTGAATCCGATTCACCACGCGCCATGAAGCGAACACCGAAGATGTTCTTTCCCTTATCGTCATCTCCACTATCCCCATCTACATCGCTTAGTGGTTCAAACGCGGCGTACACTTGATCAAAAGCCTTCTTGAGATTCTCCTTGATCTTCCTCCCTTTGAATGTACCCTTCGGCTTGTTGTCATTGGTCTTCTCACCATCTTTGTCTTCTCTTTTGCCTCTCCCAAGCTTAGGACAATGCGAACGAAGATGATCAATCGAACCACATTCAAAGCAACGATTTGGACCACCTCTTTTCCTGAAGCTGGCATTGTTCATAGCTCGAGCAATTCTGTTAGCAACCAAAGCCAAATCCTCCTTCTCGAACTGTTCGAGTTGGTCATCGGATGTGGCATTAAATAAAGTAAGAATAGAAGACTTTGATGAAGAAGTATCAACATCCAAAGAAGAAGAGGAAGAAACCAAAGCACTCGACTTAGAATCAACTTTACGAGAAAGAACGTTCATCTCATGTGTTTTCAGTTTTGTGTAAAGCGAATCCAAAGTCAAAGTAGACATATTAACAGACTCCTGAATTGATGTAACTTTCATCTCCCAAATAGACATGTCAAGACCATTCAAAAAGTGACGAGAAATCTCAGATTGTGGATAATTAGCATCATAAGAAGAATCAACAGATCTAAGATCACTCAAAATTTTGTTAAACCTAGAAAGATAGTCATCCAAAGCTTCTCCAGGTTTCATCTCAAATTTAATGTACTCCTTTTTGAAAAGACCTCGACGAAGTTCTTTAATGTTATATGTTCCTTGATGAAAATTACTCAAAGCAATCCAAATCTCATGGGCAGCTTGAAGATGAGCAACACGATCATAATCCGAACGAGAAATTCCACTCAAAAGAATATTGCGAGCTTTGCAATTTTGTTCAAACTCAAGTTTTAAAGCGGTAGTATTAATTTCTTCGGGAATCACATAAGGATGAGAAACTTTTCTCCAAATATCATAATCTTTAGCCATAATGTATGATTGCATCCTACTACACCAATGAGAAAAATCCGTTCCATCAAAAACATGAGGCTTAGTTGAAAATCTATCAGCCATGGCAAAAACTCTAGATCGGTTAAAATCCAAAGAAGAAAACAAGGCTCTGATACCACTTGTAGGATCGAAACACAATACCTAAGCCAACCAGAGGAGGGTGAATGGTTGGTATACCCAAAAACCAAAAACTTTTAGTGGAAATAAAAGTTACCCTCGAATTCGATGGAGATCGGTCTGACCGGAGTAGATTAGCCGGTCTGATCGAAGCGTAGCCGCCGGTCTGACCGGTGTTGATCTTCCGGTCTAACCGCCGAAACTTGTCGCCGACGCCGGTCTGACCGCCGTGTGCCCGCCAGTCTGACCACTGCGATGCCGCCGGTCTGACCGCCGGTGCGCCGTAGGTTAGACCGCCGAAACCCGGTGAAACCAATGCCGCCGGTCTAACCGCCGGTGCGTCGCCGGTTAGACCGCCGAAACCCGGTGAAACACAAATCGAAGAACTCTTAAAGTGGATGACGACTTTATTGATTCTCTCTGTGTTTACAAAGTGGACCAACAGCACTCCTTACAAAAATTTCGACTAAACTCGAAACCCTAACTCAACTCTCAACTCATTTGCTCTCAAAAGTGATACCGGAAAGCCTCACGCTCCCCCTCTATTTATACTAGAGGTAGGCAGCCTAAAGCCACGAATCAAACACATACTAGAAGTCCTAAACACCTTAGGAAACCCTCTAGTGCAAGAAACAAACTTTACATAACCAATCATACCAAATTTGGACTCCTTAAAAATTCGACTCCATATCCCATACGCACACAATACCTCCATTGTATGCCATATAGAATCTTCACCAACCACGTGTATTGAACTCTAGCCATAGTATCCCGCATGATCTCTGACCACCACGGATGTCGTCTTATCCCCAAGCCGACTCCCGGTCCATCACCGCAAATACTCTCCCGGCATCCGAGTCACCTACACAAAGAACAAACAAAGAAACCATATTCCTCCGAGACCAAGCTATCTCCAACTTGACTCATTTGTAGCAAACAACAGTATTACATACGTATAGTATCCATCTAGAAGCTATAATCATGAAACAATCATGGATATCCAAACAAACAATCCGAAACCGAAACCGACACAGAGTCGGCCGGTCAGACCGCGAGTTGCGCCGGTCTGACCGGCAACCACTGCCCGGTCTGACCGGACCCAATCCAGTAGTACCTGTAGATTCACCTGTGAAATCCAATCATCTCCAAAACCACTTCGTGAATGAATTTTAAATATCAAAACCAATAATCTCCAATGCCAATTGTTCATCACAGAATAATAATCAAAAACACCTTTGATTTTACACTCCATAGCTACCAATTCCATGCGTGTAGCACCAATTTGCATAGTATCATGTTTCTGTGATAGCATCATACACCAAGAGTGGAGTCAATTGGAACACAAGAAGATGACCGGCTTAATGTTAGACAATTTCTTATGCTAAGTATGTGATTGCTTAAAGAACATGAACTGGCAGAGTCTGCACAATCTACTTTTTTGTCACGAAAACAGACAAAATGGCAACTACGACAGCCAGAGGAAAAAAAAAGGGTTAATAAAAAAGGTAAAATGAGCAATTTATAACAAGAGAGGTTATTTAAACCTTTTTGATAGTTTGGAGGTGTAATAGGACTTATGCATATATAACAGAAATAAGTCCATGAAACAGGCAGTTGATTGGGATATTTCTCCGAACGTAATTTACAGTCTTCCTCCAATCTTCAGTTACTTCAAAATTCAACGGGAATAGGCTATTATTCCATAGGGGTTTGGAGGAAAAAACTAGCTAATTGCATGGTCTTGCTGTTACTGATGTTTCACTGCAGCTACTAGATGAAGTTTCCAAGCCCCACATTTTGTACAGGAAATGCATTTATTTGTCTCCGAGGCCAAACCTTGAGTCCATTCACAGAAAGATCTTGAAAGAGGAGTTTAGAGTACTAAAGCATCCACCACCACGCCCTTCAATACAATGCATTGTAAGTATATCTGACCTTTGTTGTAAGCTATAAATATTGTTATGTAGTTGGAATTGT